CGTCACAACAGTAACTAATACTACTGATATCATTGTTTTTATCGTCAATATCATTGCTATTATTATTATCGTTATTATTCACAATAAAATCACTGATACTATTACTCGTTATTACCACAACAGCATTGTCATCATCACTAACAATATTATTATTGTCATTATTATTATTATTGTTGTTGTTGTTATTATTATTGTTGTTATTATTAGTGCAGATTTCAAATAATTTTTTTTAATTCTATGTTTGAATGAATTACCTCGCTGCCAGTGAAACGAATTCCTTTGACATCGGGGGGCACTCCGGTATAATCATCCGAAAGATCACCAAAATGCTTTTCAGCGAGCTTCGATAGCTCCGAGTGATTAACATCGCCAACGGCACTTAGGACCATTCGAAACGGTTTATACGTACCATCAGTGTATTTCCGCAGGTCCCGTCGTGCTAGATTCCTGAATACGTTCGCCTATTTACAACAGTTAATGCCAAAAGATTTTGAAATATGAATAATAATTTGTGGTCGTTAGAAGGCCGAACCGTAGTCTTAAAAGCAAGTAATATTAAAGAAACTTTTTAGTAACTTTTTTTAAGCAAAGTCGAGCATTACACTTATAAATTAAATTGTGTTTTTCACAGTTTACGCACAACTCAGTTAATGTGCTTCAAAACTAGGTTAACTGCGCATCTATGTTTGTGTGTATGTTTGTTTGGCCGGAAAGCAAGACTGACTTGTGTTCTCTCTTCCGGAATCAGCATTATCACACAACGCAAACACCGTAACATCTTGCGTAAACACAATGACACTTAGCCAATGATTATTACGACCTCCCAGATCTGATCATAAGCGGACCTAGAGGGGACGGGCGGAGGATTTTTCGCCTTCCCCCCCGCCCCCCTCCCCTAGCAGCACAGGCACCAGTGCTACAAAAGTCAGGGTCTAAAGCTAAAACTGAAAGAACTCTCTTCCGTACTCCCCTCCCCCCAATGCGCCCCCCCCCCGCGCCTCAGGAGACCGTCCTGGATCCGTCTATGGATCTGACGAAATGGTGTTTCGGCGTTGTGGCGCTGCCGGGTACAATATCTCTTAAGTTTTCAGTCAGCACACATCGAATGCCATTTTGCACAATAAAAGAGTGAAAATGATCGTATCTTTTTACAAACCGATCCCAATTACTAGCAAATGTTTCAAGACGAGATTTTTTTGGGTACAAGGTTCGTTGAAGGATGTCCCTATCCACTTTCTTACCTGATAACTTCGGATCTACCATAAGGCGATTTCGACATTGGTGTTCCCTGGAAGGCAGCATCGTGAAGATAATCAAACACCACTTCGATTGGATCATTTTCCACTTCATTCATTTCACGCAAAATACGATTGCGCTCCGTTTCCATTGCTGCTTCATCCAACTTACTGTTGCGTAAAACATCAGCCAACAGCTCCACCACTGTAATATTTACTGGTCGAACGCTATTTCAGGATAAACTGCTAGAAGCGATGAAACATGGGCAGACCAACTTTTATTGTAATATTAATTTTAGATTATGTGTTTATGTAAAAAATAAGGGTTTAAAAGTAAGCGAATAAAAGGAAGGTGAATAAGATAAACCGGAATAAAAGCCTGAATAGGAATGTTTCGGTCCATCAAGTCGCATACATTCCTGTTCAGGGCTGCAATTGGACCTCGTCAGTGTGACACACATATTCCTCAGTGTGACACACATATTTTACATCTTCCTCTTTACATGTCTTTTCAACATGTGACACCGTTTGTACCACAACAACAGCCCTATTATCTCTATCTTCATAATCTATTCACTATTTCCACCCTACATTAAAATTCATGGATTACAGCCGTTCCGCATTTTTCACGGTAAATGGACTGGCCGTTTACTTCAGAAATACGGTTCGGGTTACCAAGGACCGCAAATTATTTGTCAATTTAACCCAATTCGGCCGCTCCGCTTGCACCGTTCACTTATGTTCGGCCTTCTAATTGCTGTTCGTTATTATATAAGAAAGAAATGCGGTTTTTCCTACCTTTCATATCCCATGCAAGGGAAAATACAGAGGGCATTTTAACGATGTTACCCGATAAAGGATTTTCTAATTTGGTGAGACAATTATTCCAGACGTTGCTAATCTCTCTCTCTCTCTCTCTCTCCTAGTCGATCGATGGTCTATGACTAACAACGTTCGGGACGAGGTGGGTGATGATTAAACACACCAAGTAATCATAAAACTGCTGGCAACCAATATCAAATAGTCTTTCTGGAGAACCGTTGAGCTGACCAGCCCTTCAAGAGATGGAATAAAAGTCAGGATCAGCAACAGGCTGACCACCAGTTCAAGCAGCACTGTTCAAGCCTTCCTTTCTTTATCCAAAGGCTGCTGAGCCTAACGTCAATGTTCCCACTGTCGCGTGCGAATGCGCCTGCGTGTGTTTGGGCTTCCCATTCAGTTCTACGCTTGCTGGCGGCCTTATCGCGTAGGATACCCCTCAGATACTGGAAGAGGTCGGTAGGATTTCTGAATACCCGATCATCTACTGAATACCCGATTTAAGTGGAAAAGTTGCCAGCCGCGAGAGCTGGACAAAATCACACTGTCGATTGGAATAAAATATTGATCGTTGAAAGGACACAACAAGAAAACAGAGTCACAATCAAATCCTTGTGAAGCATACCGTTTTCGACATCTTTCGGCGAGCACTGAACGAAAAATGCGGTGTGTTCTCTTGAGGTATAGGAACTAAGTCGCGCACCGATCTTCTCCAGATCAGTTTCCAGTTGTGTCTGAGAACGTTTTCCAGTGCCCTAAAAACCAATTCAGGCACTCAGAAAATGCAAAAAATTCATGCAATTAGTAAATTCCTTGGTCTTGGACTAATAGATAGAGGGTTAGGAAAGTTCAAATGCTGCCAGAAAAATTCATGAACTTACTCGATAAAACATATGT